TGGGGGGTTTTCGGGTCTTGTTCGTTTATTTCTTTTCCATGATACGGATGCTGTGCATATTTACATTACACTCCGTGCGAGGCGTTGGGGGAGTGTTTACTTTAGATAATAGCTCCAATAGACCTACACATACACACATACCCTCTATACAAGTACAACACAGCATACACATATAATATACACACACGCTCTAATCTAAATCCTCCTTCTCCATCTCCCCCGCCAACCTCCACGCCTCCCCCTCCATCTCCTCCGCCGACCTAGCCACCCTCTCCTCATTATCCACCCTCGGAAACCTCCTCCTCCCCTCACCACCCTCCTCACCATCCTTAGCAAAAACATCCCTCAAATCGCCCTCCTCCCCATCCAACATCTCATAAACCGCATCCATCCCACCCCTACTATCCAAATCCCCCCTCTTCCTGGGTATCACATGCGCATGAACATGCGGCACGCTCTGGCCCGCATCTGCGCCATCCTGGATAGCGATATTCAGACTCGACGCTCCATATACACGCTCGATCATGCGCGCTACGCGCCGCACGGTCAGGAATAGATCTGAGGTCTCGGTCGGGGTGAGGTCTGTCACGCGGGGAACGACCCGTCGGGGGGAGATGAGGACGTGGCCTGGGAGGATGGGTTTTAGGTTTACGAGGGCGTAGCTGTAGGGAGTTAGGTGGAAGACCTATTTTTTATCTTTTAGTATCTGAGGGGTGGGTATGTATATGTATTTGGGGGCCGGGGGAGGGTGTACCTGGGTTGTGACGGTGAAGGGGCCGAAGTGGATGGGTCCGGCTTTGAGGATTTGGGTTATGGTGGTTGGGATGGACATTGTTGTTGTTGTGGTGGTGGGGGTGGGGGTGGACATGTATGTATGTATGTATGTGAGAGGTTATTTGAGGGTATATATGTATGTGTATGGTGTACGAATTGGTGGTATGTGCAATTGATGGTAAAAGAGGGATAGTTGGTTGTGTTGAAGATGAAGATGAGGTGGACTACTTCCGGTGGAGAATATCGCTATCGACATCATCGGAGTTAGGCGGAGATACCATACCATCTATCGTTTACAACCACCATCTACATCTACATCTAAACTACAGACATAGCAGTCCAATCCACTCATAAGGGTATCATTACTCGCTCGTATATTACATCAGAGCCTTCCCCACAAACATGCTCACATATTACAACCGTGATATCGACACATGCCATCATGTATCATGTCAAAAAAGAAATCACTAGAAAGGGATCTGCTCGTCGCTACGCCTCCTGCGCTGCTTCCTGCGCTGGCGCTTCCTGTTCGCTAATTTGCTCGCTCGGTTGCTTTGTTTCTGCCTCTACCTCGGGCTTCGCCTCCGTCTCTGCGGGGGCTTCGCTTTCAGGCTTGGCCGGCTCTTCCGCCTCAGCTTCAGCCTCAGCCTCAGCCTTGGGCTCGGCCTCGGGCTCCGTTGTCTCTGGCTTCTCCTCTGGTTTCTCTTCCGGCTTCTCCTCTGGTTTCTCTTCCGGCTTCTCTACTGACTCCTGGGTAGCCTCGTCATCGTCGGCGTGTACCTCCGAAACAGTGACCTTAGATCCGTTGTCGTCAACGGAAGGCTCCGGCTCCGGCTCTGGCTCAGACTTTTGCTGCTCCTCGGCCGCTGGCGTTGGCTCGGCCTCCTTCGGTGCAGGGACAGGGGTGGGAACAGGGGCAGGAGCAGGAGCAGGAGCAGGAGCGGAAGCAGCCGCTGCGGCATTCGCAGCTGCAACCGCAGCCGTTGCCGCCGCTACAGCCTGCTGCCTCGGCTGCTCATCGTCTTCTGCGCCCTCGTTGATGGTCGTCACGCTCGAGCTGATCGACGGGCTATTTTTGTGACGCCTCGTGGTTGCTCCCGTGCTGATCGACGCTGGCTCCATACTCTCCAGCGACAACGGCTCGTTCTCCTTGCGCAAGATTGTCATCCGACGATTGTCCGTGTGCTCCGGCGCGGCCGGCTGCTGAACATCCACGCCCTCCGCCTCCACAGGAACCGTGTAATTATCCTCCGGAATGAGACTGTACATGTCGCAGACCGTCTTGAAGAAGATATATAGCCCGTCGTGTCCCTCCACCTGCCAGAACACCTCCCGGTGTTGGAACCAGGCGTGCGCAAAGATGCGATACAGCCGTCGGAAGATGTTGGTCAAATGTCTCATGCTGGCCTGTGCGCCGCCGCCCGTCTCCGAGCCGAGAGTCAGTCGGCTGGGAAAGTATTTAGGCGACGTAAGGATATTCGTGGCCCAATCGAGGGTATGGCAGCAATAGTCGATGGCGCAGCAGGATTTGGGCGGATCGTGCACGGCACAGAGGTACTGCCACTCGGATGCCCGCATCTCGGGGCAAGTCTGGGAGGAGCAGGGAGGAGAGTCGGCGAAGAAGGCGATGATGAGATTGTTGACTTTCATAGTCAGGAAGCGACACAGCTCGTAGAGCCATAGCGACCGGTCGACGCCGTCCGGGGGTTCTGCGAGCTGCATGGCGACATCCCGATTGATGGGAACTACTGTATCAGAGCCTTCGGGCCGTGTGTAATGATTGTAGAGAGCCTTGAGGTGTTCTTGGAGTTGGAAGGGGGAATCGAGCTATCGCAGAAAGGGGTGGCTGGGTCAGCGGAGCTACTCGGAGACAGCTGTGCTTTGTTTACGAAAACCGTACCTGAGAGAGAGGGATCAGAGGCGGTCCAACAGCCATATCCCCAGCTCTAGTACCTGGACGAATCCTCCTGGTTGAGCCATCCTCCGATGTTTGTGAAGCGCCCAGCAATTGCTCCGTCTCGTGGTCAAAGGACTCGCCGACCGAGGGTGACTTGGGCCCGATCTGGACCTCCGTGAACGGGGGCGGACTAGGCAGACGTGGAGAGGTGGCCTGCGAGACTCCCGCAGTAGCCATAGCGAGAGGATTCGCAGAGTCTCAAATGAGTGAAAACAGAAAGAAAGAAGGAAATGAAGAGGAGGAATGTAAAGGAGAGACGAAAGGGAATTGGAGAAGAACAACAACTAGCTGAAATGAGGAGATAAGATGGAGCTGGCCGGACGGGGACTGGCCGCGATTGTCTGGTTTGCATTGCTGCCAAATGACTGCCGGTGCCCTAAGCCCTAGCGGTTCCTGTTGGGGTAACGTCATTCCCCGACATTCTCCATATCTTAGCATTCATCTGGCATTCTAACTATTCTAGTTTATACTCCGGTCAGCTTTTTCTCCCCAGCTTGCACAAACACAGCGTTCAATATGGACGACGACGATGCCCCACCCCAGCTGGTTGACATCTCGACCGCCCCCGATGTGGCCCCGCCATCGACGTCACTAGACACGCCGCCTCAGAACCGCGTGCCCATCACGCTTGTGACTGGTATGATGTGATGCCACACATGCAGATCCATCTGCTTTGTAGACCAGCAGCAGAAAAGAAAAAAAGAAAAAAATATCCCGTAGATCCACATTAACTAACATGTCCCCTCGTGTCAGGCTATCTGGGAGCCGGCAAGACCACTCTCCTCAACTATATCCTCACCGAGAAGCATGGCAAGAAGATTGCCGTGATCATGAACGGTGAGTGACCACCACTCTAGACCACAAGATTATCAAATTGCTAAGATAATGTAGAGTTCGGTGACTGTAAGACACAACGCATACACTTTTCCTCTTACTATATAAACAACAAACAACCCAATTAACACCCACCCAGCAACCGACATCGAGAAACCCCTAACCGTCAACCAAGACGGTCAAGAAGTGACCGAATGGATGGAAGTCGGCAATGGCTGCATCTGCTGCTCCGTCAAGTACACCCCCCCATTTCCTCCCTGCCCGACCACCACCCACCCATCTAACCAACTACAGAGACAACGGCGTCATGGCCATCGAATCCCTAATGGAACGCCGCGGCGCCTTCGACTACATCCTGCTTGAAACAACAGGGCTCGCCGACCCAGGTAACATCGCCCCAGTCTTCTGGGTCGACGACAACCTGGGGAGCAGCATCTACCTCGACGGAATCGTCACACTGGTCGACGCCAAAAACATCCTGCACCTGCTCGACGAGCCCACTCCGGAAGAAACCGTCTCCAGCCACGGAACCGCCGAATCCGATTCCAACCCCAACCATACGCACACGCACACCGGCCCCGTCCTCTCCATGGCACACATGCAAATCTCACACGCCGACGTAATCATCATCAACAAAGCCGACCTCGTCACAGCAGACGAACTCGCCACAGTCCAAGACCGCGTGACGGCCATCAACAGCGCAGCTAAAATCCACATCACGGATCATAGCAAAACGCCGAAGATAGAGGGCGTGGTGCTGGATTTGCATGCGTATGATCATTTGGATTCGTTGGATTTTGCTCAGAAGGGACATAGTCATATGGATCCGGTATAGCCCCCATTTCCTTCATTCCCTTCTTTGGTTTTGTTAGGATCGTTTACTGATGGATGGGTTACTCGCAGTCCATCTCAACCATCGCCCTCACTACTCCCCCCATCACCCCGGCCCAAGTATCCCGCGTGGACACCTGGCTTCAATCCGTCCTCTGGGACTCTGTGATGCCGCTTGCGGAGGAAGTATCTGGGCCGACGGGATTCGATATCCATCGGTTAAAGGGGATTCTGGTGCTGAGTGATGGGTCGACGAAGATTATTCAGGCAGTGCGGGATGTTTTTGAGATTAGGGATTCGGAGCCGGCGGATGGGAAGAACCAGTGTAAGATTGTTTTGATTGGACGGGGGTTGGGTGGTGATGATGGGGGGAGGGCGTGGCAGAGGAGTTTGGAGGAGTGGTTGGGCCGGTAGAGTAGTAGCACTACTACTAGTAGCTGATTGGGTTGGTGATGAGGGTATTTGTAACGATGACGACGATGATGATGAATGTATGTATGAAGAGAAGAGTAGAGTATTAAAGTTGCATACTACTTACTATTAGATACGATGTATTATTCATATGGGAAGAGAGGCCAATCAAATAGTCATCCTTTCAGATTAATACAGTTGCTGCTTCGAATAGTATTAACAAACCAGTGTACAAGATTGAAACGGCGCAAAGTTCAAAAAGTCACAATATCCATCCGGTCGTAAGTCGTTAGTGGGCAGGTAGGTAGGTAGGTAGGCAGAAAGCAAAAAGACGGGAAAACGAAAAACAAAACGCCATGTCCAGAATTATCCCCACTGCTCTGATGGCAGCTGGGTTCCCGAGACTTTAATTCGCAACTGCAGTAGTGAAAACCTGCGTGAGGGCTTTTGAGGGGATGATCAGCGTTTAGTAGATCAAGCCAAAGATAAAACAAAGATGAAAGAAAAAAGCAAACCCCGAAATCATCCAACTCCATATTCGCCATGATGCCCGCTGAATACTCCTTAGAGCAACGCTTCAAAAGAACTAACTGTACAGTGAAAATAGCAGGAGTGGCACTGTTCGGTCCCCATGGCTTGCAAGTCATGGATGACTACTATGAACAAGTGGCACTACCTGCAATGGCTCAACACTCCCTTCCTGTCATATGGACGCCTAAGGCGTCTTCCGTAAATGCTGGATTGATGGGTAAATGAGATTCGCTCAAATAGGTCGTGGGTTCTTGGAGGCCTTGGTGAGGGTATCCCAAGGTGGAACTCATACTGAGATGCGAGAATCGGTCTGCGTCTGAGTCTATCATTTTCTGGTCGGGGACATTGGCTGCAGGATTAATCGGTAGTATCGAGTGAAGAAGTGAAGAAACGGAACGCGACGGCGCTTCCATCGGCCAATGTTGGTCGTCCATCAGCGCCTGTCCCAGGTCCGTCAGGTGAGCTGGGCATAAATCCGTTGATTGGGTATCTGCTGATGACATTGGAGATTCTTGAGACTGTCCCATCTCCGATAGGTTGTTGGATGAATAGCGATTCAATGATGGCGATAGATGCCCCTCTACACCAGCAAATTCTTTCGGCAAATGATCCGCTTCACAGGGGATTTGATCAACTGCACCGTCCATTGTTCGTCGCGGATAAGGAGGATGAGCGTTGGCGACCAAATCAGGCTCGTCTTCTATATAACTTGGGACGGTGTTGTGTACTGCATGAGAGCCTCTCAGAGTCGTCTGAGGCAAGACTCCATTGGCCATTGGTGAATAGGTGACTGCGTTTACTCTGCGCTGGGCTGCAGATAGGGGCTCCCTTTCGAGCAGTTCGTGCTCCGCTGTCCTAGCCACCCCGACTTGCTGCTCCCTGGACATGATGTAATGTTCTCTATCTGGAGAAGAAGCAAAGTCACTGCCGTCATGCTGTAATGAGTATGTATCATCCAGCGATAATTGAGTGTCGAAAGACGCCCCATTGACTACAGGCTGCGTGTGGTGATACAGAAAAGCCGCTCGAGGATCGTACAGCGGCAAAGCGCCGTTCTGTAAGGCGACGCCGAGGCCTGTCTGTGCAGGACGTATCGGAGGAAATGACTGCTCGGTCATCCACATATTGCGGGGGAAGAAGCCTAGAAGTTCCTTGGCCGACAGCCGGTGTCGGGGGGTGGCACTTAAACAGATAGAGACCAACCTACGGTAGTAGTCCGGTACCCGTGCGTCCGGTGGAATCATTAGAGGACGAGGCTGTCGTTCTGGCTCATCTTCCTCCATTGCCAGAGCCCACAACGTCATGCCCAGCTGAAACAAATCCGTCTTCACTCCAATATACATCGATATTCGCTGGTTACTCTCGATTTTCGCCGCAATCTCAGGAGGTTCCCATCCTACCGGACAGCCCCGGCGATTGATATCAATGATTTTGGCATTGTCGTCGGCATCAACAACAATGTTGGAAAGAGTAAAGTCTCCTTGTACGTAGCCAGCCTCGTGGATCTCACAAAGACCGTGGACGATCTGCCTGGCCCAGCGTTCCCGCCGCTCCCAGGAAATCAAGCCACGGTTCTCGTAGAGAATGTCGACCAAAGCTCCCTTTTCTGCATAGCTAATGAGAAGACCCTTGACCACCTGCTGCAGGTCGTCGACCACAATTCCTTCTACCCGGACCACATAAGGGGTGCCCTGTAAGGCGTGAAGCGCGTTGATCTCGTACAGAAACTCATCTACTGTGTCGGGTCCAGGAATCTCCTTCTTGATGTATGCCTTGCCATCTAACTGGACGTTGTAGACGAAGCCGGATAGATGCGCGTCGAAATGGAGCTGGTTCTCGGGGACCAGTCGTGCTTGTGGCAAATGCCCGATACAAGAAACAGGCGGATAGGGAATGATTTCGTTGACATCCTCCGTAACGTGCACATGCAGGCGGCCGTCGCGAGTTTCCAGCTTCAGGTTGGTGACTGTGTCGTAAAACTGAATCTCCGACAGCGACTCGCGAATCGACTCGTAAATTCGGGCACACTTGTCTCGCTGATACCGCAATTCCCTCAGGTCTTGTTCCAGGGAATCCGGGGGCGCACCGCGGTAGTCGCAGGATATGGTGACTCTCCGCCACCGAGTCGGAGTCTCAGCATATGTGACGAAAAACTTTTCCCGCTCCGAGCGATCCCGAAAATGCATGCTCAGGTTCAAAATCCATCGCTTTTCCAGTTCCATCTCGAGCGTGTCGTCCGGTAGCTCCTCGGGAGCTTCCGCCACGTCAGGACAGGGGTTCCATTCCGAGAGAAAGTCGCTGTCCTCATTCGCCTCAGGCAGTCGCTCGACCGTGGTCTCGCTCGGGTCTTCGCGCCACTGAACCTCGGGAGCGGACAGTCTGGGGTCCACGGTGGGCGGTGGGGATCTGGACCGGTGGGAGCTCACGGCGCGACGACGGTCGGCAGACACTGCACGACGGGGCTCGGGTTCTAGGGGTGATAGATTGTCTCGCCGCTCGGAGTTCTGTCGTTTAAAGGTAGTGGCTCGCGGCAGACCAACTCCTACCTTTCTGGACAGGCGACGCTTGAGATTATCGTGGGCTTTGTTGTTGCTGTGGTGCGGCTTGTTGTTGGTATTCTTGCCGTTGGGGGGTGAGTTGTGGTGGTTGTTGTTGTTACTGTTCTGATTACCATTATGCTCGTTGTGGGCGGCTGGAGAATTGGGTTTATTTGCGGTGGGGGCAGCGTCGCCAGCGGGGGAATGTGAGGAGAAATCTCGATCATCGCGGCCCAGCCACCTGCGAAGGCCCAGGCGATGCCACATGCTCTGCTTGGGACGGGGAAGGTCAACCTTCTCCGGGTCCAACAACAGACCGAGCGACCTCGTCGGGCTACAGGAACTGTCGGCAATGGAGATGGCCATACGGATCGACACGGTCGCTAAATTGTCGTACGGAGAACGACTGGAACACCCGAGGGGGATGGAATGGCGATGTCCATAAGAATTGCGACGAAATCCTTGCGGTCAGCAGTGACTGTAACCCTGTGCGAGGTCTCTCACAGGTCTGACGAAGAGGGAAAGGAAATAACAGAAATAATTATGGGTATTAGATTTAAAGCCCTGTTGAATGAGACGAGCGAAAGGGAAGAAGAAAAAGAAAGCAGGGAATCAAAAGCAAAGAAAACAAAAAATGAGAAATTGTGCTGAAGTAGACCAATAAGCAATAAAAAATCAAGTTAACGAAAGAGAAAAATAAAAGGGAAAAAAAACTTTAAAATCGGATTCAATGATATAAATAAATAGAAATGAATCTCCCTGAAGAAGTCGGTGAGAACCCGAGTTTGTGTTGTCCAGGCACTGCTTTGCCCAGTCAAACCGAGTCCCACTGGGCGCACAGTGACGAGATGATGGTCGGGGATGTAATTTGATCTTGTTCTTATGACCTGGGGTAGTGGAGGTAATGGTGGTGGTGTTGGTGTTGTTGCTGTCGTTGTCAGGTTGCTACTAATGGGGATCAAAGGCAGAGGGAGTGACAATGCAGTGGGATAGAGAGGGCATAGAGAGACGCGCAGGACAAATAAGGATGACGAGGAGCAGAATACGACGAATGGGGGCGAAGATGAGTCGATAGTAGACCGACTAACTTGGTTGTAGGTGTCACCCGGCTGCAAGGCTGGTTGGGCTGAAGGAATAGGAAAGGAAAGGCCGAGGATTGGATTAGTATCGCAGCCAGTCGATCAGTTGATCCATAAATGGGGGTGGTAGAGAGGAAGAGGAGAGGAGAGGAGAGGAGACTAGTAGTTGTAAGAGGAGATGGTGAAAGAGGAGGCGAGGAAAGTGTTGGTTGAATTCACCGCCCACGAGATGCAGTGATGGAGCAAGAGAGAGTGAGAGGGAGAGAAGATGTGAGAGGATGAAGATGGAATGAATAATAGCAAGCAAGTAATAGTTAGTTGTCACAAGAGAGAGTGTGTGTGCGTGAGAAAGAAAGAGGGAAAGAGATTGGCAGGACTGGGCCAGAATGGAACAGGCCCAATGGAAGACCGATGGAAGAAACGGCGAACGCACGATCGGATCCTTGCGTAGGAAAATAACCCTCAAACCAATGGAAATCTCAAACGGACTAAAGCACGAAGGATGATGCGAAAAACTACTAGATACTACTAAGTATGGAGGAGTCTAGTCAGTCTCTGGGCCATGGGCGAGACAGCGAATCTGGAACCGCAATCACAGCCGCCGTCTTTGAGCCAGTGGAGATGCACGGCGGCCTGACAGTGAGTGCCTGATGGATGGATGGGGATAGTAGTAGCAGTAGTAATTAAAGATGAGACGAGCATTTTTCCTAACTAACTAGTTAGTTAGTTACCAGTTGGTTAGTCAGTCAGTAGTATATTCCCGTTAGGAGATACAAAGTAGTAGTAGTAGTAGATATTGGGGGAGAAGGACTCCGATCGGGAATCAACCCTACTAAGAAACTCAAAAAGTAAAGAAATTCTTAGGAAATAACCGGAAACCGACTTGTAAACTAAACTCTACAATAATCGCTATCTATCTGATTCCTCGGATAACGCCTTGATTTCTTCAAAGTCCACAGCAAGCAGGCTGGAGCACTACTCGATTCATCTCACGGCATCCACTACTGCAGACGCACAGCCCAACTTTCTTCTCGAAGCCTCCCCGTTCGTTCCTGTCTTCTTCCTCTCCCGATCCAACTGTTACTCCTACTGCTACTCTGGTATCCGACTTACTGAGCTGGTCGGGTTTTCGTCTCCGATCGTCCCCTAACTAACTCTCCTTCACTATCACCGAGGACGCCCCCCTCTCCTCTCCCCCCCCAGAATCCACCCATCACCTCATCATCACTAGTAGCCCCTTCCATATGTAAATTTTCTAGTTTACCCGAGCGTATCGCTAGATCCGCAAACACAACAACACCACCAGGCAAGGCCACGCTGTACAAACATCTGTCTGCCAGGTCCACCCCCCTCTCCCGATCAAGTGCATAACCAGGTTGCTGCCATGGAGGAGGGGGTGGGAAAGACAAGGAAAGAGGGAGGAGAGGGGCGTGAGATGAAGTAGTACACCTGGATCCAATAATCCAACAAAGATAAGTAAACTGGTCCCTGGAAGACCCCATCCTTCGTTAATAGTTCATACTTCATCACGGCACCAAGACCCTCCGTCGGGTCCTCATAGATACTACTACCTATAGTTAGTTAGTAGGTACTAGCTATCCCCCCCGCGGTTAAACTTTACTTTTTCAAAGTGATGCTCCCATTCAGATCGAAGGAACAACAACACCTCAGGATGATGCGGCCAATCATTATCCTCCACCTTGTAGCGTAATAAAACATCCCCGTTATTCATTTTATTTCTCATTTCTCTTCTGTGCTAGTAACAGCATAGCTGCTATTCCTAGTACAGGTAGTAGCTACTGAGTACTAGTTGCTAAATAGACAACCCGTTGTTGTCGTGGTTGAGCCTGCTTTGAGAGAAGATGATGATGGCATGGGGACTGTATATGCAGGCCCGCTGCACTGCCTACTGACATGGTATGCATGTTCTTGTACAACTGTGTCAACGTTTAGTGTATACAACTAAGGGAATAGTCTGTCTGTTAGAGTAGGCCAAACATACCATCTGATAATATCATCGATGACCTCAGTGAACCTTAACATGATGACATTCAAGAACTAGTTCTTGAGAAAGACTTAGTCCTTCATTACCACAATAAATGGGACATACATCATCGCCATCATCACTCCTACCACTCAGGTCAACCGGGTCAAAAAGTCAGGTTAATAACCAGGCAACCAACCCATGCGGAGATTCCCGGATGGTATATAGCCAGGCAGTCCGAATGACACATTCCCGTCTTCATCCAGCCTGTCAGATCCGTTGTCGTGGTTTTTCTACCAACTAGCTCCCCTGGCTTGCATCCAATCCGGGGCAAAGCCTGGGGGACCCAGTCGAGAGGGGGGGCCCTGATGAGTCCGGACGGAAGTAGCAGTAATGGTAAGAGTACTACTAGTAGTGACATGTAGGTCGGGTAGGTAGCTTACTCCTATAGGACGGATAAGGTTTCATGATCATTGGTGCGATATCTACAATCCTAGTCGTTAGTGGACGGTCTATGCATATGTGATAGTATGCGGTTAGTATTATCATCACGGATCAATATCTAGTTATGGTTGTAATGTAGTTGTAGGTGATGGGGTAGGATATAGTAGGTTACACTAAATAGATTCTAGGCCATGTCGGCCAAGGTTCTTCTCCAGTGAGGGTTAAGTGAATAGAATTGCCAGAATACTATCAATCAAGTGAAAAGCAAGCGTCGAGAATGCTAGAACTAGGCTCTCAAGTCTCCATAGTCCGTTCCTTATGTCGTCCCGCGCAGCAGGTGACAACAGATCAGTCCACGGTGACGATTGCCCTGTTCGGCAAACAACGACTCACAGGAAAGAAAACAAGAGTGGAGAATTGAAGTAACACAAAAGAAACAGAGGAGCCACTCAGTGTCAAAGACTAAGCTGAGAAAGATTGGCAGATATGAAAAGAAAGCACAACACCACCCAGGTAATAGCAACCATGTCGACTAACTAGAGCTTGCTTCTTCATCACCATCCATCAAGCACAAACTCATGATGCGCACCAGACAGCCAATCAAAACTTAGGCCATCATCAGGCGTACTTGTCGACAGGGTACATGCAATCCACACTTAAGGCCACTTTCCAGGTCCCATGCAGGCGCCCAGAACGCATGTATCAGTGTGGCAGCACTGAGAGCTATAACGGCAAACACGGCGATGACATCTCTTGTCCTTAATTTCGACCGTTTCACCGTCGTCTTCGTTGACCAATTCAGAATTGGTCTCGTCTGTGTTCAGAGGAAAAGGGAAGAGGTTAGTTTCTTGCATTGTCTACAGGGGATGTCATGTTAACAGAGACAGAGAGGCACAAACCTTCATCACGAGTAGCAAGTTTGAAATCGTTCACGTCAAAGTCTTCAACATCGAACCAGGCTTTATGCAGAGAATGTGTTGGTTAGACATCTTGTCTTTCTGTGTGAATGACATAAGAAGAAAGAACAACTACATACTTCCATGAGTGCTGGTGACATCAGGAGCGACCTCAGGGACGGCCGCGGATGCCACGAAGGCAACAAGGAGGGTCAGAACGCAGAGGATATTGAACTGCATCGTGATTGACAATGAGGGCAGCGGTTGTTTTGTTTGGGGTGGTAACGAGAGATGCTGATCGACGATATGTGCGGAATATGTGAGTTACGAGAGAAGATGTGAGGGTATGTGAGGAACGGATATGAGAGGTGAGGAGAGTTAGAGAAGCGCAAGATGGGGCCTGCGAGACGCTTTATAGATTGAGAGAAAAGACGTCCCGTGACTTACGCCGCTGTGAATGAGATATCCTGCCTCTCCTTTAGCAAGCCGGACGCGTGAATGAGTGTTGAAACAAATACTTCTCTCGCACTTCTTTCAATATTTGGAAGGTGAGGTAGAATCGTAGGAAACGGGAGAGACCAACTAAGATCGTGCGTCTCAGCCTCTCTAATATTCACCTTTGATTACAGATGTCTTTGAGGTGAAGAGGCAATCCCTCTACCTAATATGGGCAGGAGTGTAGGTTTCAAGCCATAGTTTGGCTGCCTAGAAGGAGCAGAGCTTGGGCAAAATAGCCTCTATTACAAGAAACAAAGACAAAGCTTTGATATGTACATATACAAGATGTGATATTGTCCATTAGCAAGCCTGAAAACAGCGTCAGGAAGCACTGTAGTCAGAGCTCTATCCTCTTCCTCCAGACCGGCTTATTACACGATCCAACAATGATACACAGCCGGTCTTATGGATCATTCCAACCATCTTCTTTTCTCAGAGCGGAGTGAGTGCTAGGCTGCAGTATTGCCGTTCGTCGTATCAGGACTGCTAGAAAGCAGGTCGAGGCGAACGTCAACTTCAACGTGGTGTCGTGGTATGGCCCACAACTTGAAGCAACGGGTGAATCTAGAAACTAAACAAGAAAAAAGTGACGAGAAAATGAAGACAACTCCGAACCATGCTTTCCACAGGATAACGCCTTGCACGTGACCAGAAAGAAAATAAAACAATGCCCGGCGTGAGCTGGAGAACAGTATGTCATCAAGGCGTGAGGACTGGTGGCGTAATTCACTCGTCTTCCTCTACTTCGTTGGATTTCTTCTCAGGCTTCTCAGCCAGCTGCTTCTGCCAAATGTTATTGGCAGCACCTTTGTCCAAGTCGGTAAAGAGGATATCGAACACCTCCGAGTACCAGCCTACTGCATGGCCTTCGATGCCCTCCTTGATGTTCTGTGATTGTAAGTTAGCTTCTTATCCGGCACTCCCAAATAGTCATCCAACACTCACCTCAGGCAGCTCCAGCCAGTCGGACATGTTGTCCGCGGGGAAAATAATCTTCTTAGCACCAGCACGGCGAGCAGCAACGGTCTTCTCCCGCAAACCTCCAATGCGCAGGACCTTTCCGGTCACGGTCAGTTCTCCCGTCATAGCGATGGTTGGGTCGAGTGGGTGGTTCAAAGCCAAGGACAGCAGAGATGTTGCCATGGTAATACCAGCAGATGGGCCATCCTTCGGCACGGCACCCTCGGGGCAATGCATGTGCAGCTTAGCCTTCTCAAAAAATCGGTTCTCGGGGAACTGCTTCGCCATAACCGACTTGGCAAATGAGTAGGCGATTTGGCTAGATTCTTTCATCACGTTTTGCAGGTTACCGGTGATATCGATGCCCGGTCGGGACTGAGGCGTCAGGGCGTTCTCCAGGATTGATTCGACGTACAAGGCAGCACCTCCCATGCTAGTCCAGGCAAGGCCCATGGTCACACCAGGAGGGAAGGTGTCGTAGAGACGGTCAGCCGTGAAGATGGGGGGTCCAACATAGTCAGTAAGGCTGTCTTTGCCGATACTGAGCTGCACACTTTCCGGAACCTTCAGCGCAACGCGAGGCGTTTCCGTCGTGGACTTTTCCGGGTCGACAGGCGACTTTGAGTCGGGAGATTCAGTCTCCTTCTGTGACTCCTCTTGAACGGCCTTGCCCTCATCTGTCAGAGCCTTCTCTTCTGCGAGCACATCTTCGCCGAGATCCCGAACGATCTTGTATGCCGCCTTACGATAAACCTTCTCGATCTGCTTCTTCAGATTCCGAACACCACTTTCACGGCAGTAGGACTTGATGAGTTCCTCAACGGCCTCCTCCGTCAAGCTAACATCAACCTCCTTCAGACCGGTAAGCTCTCGAGCAGCAGGGGCGAGATACCGCTGAGCAATGGCCATCTTCTCATCGGCAACATACCCCGACAACTCGATGAGCTCCATGCGGTCGAGGAGTGGCCGAGGGATCGTGTCAGTCACGTTTGCTGTGCAAACAAAGAGAACCTTGGACAAATCCACCGGGACATCCATGTAGTGGTCCAGGAACGAAGAATTCTGTTCAGGATCAAGCAACTCAAGAAGCGCAGAAGACGGGTCTCCCTGGTGCCCGCGGCCGATCTTGTCGATTTCGTCGATCAAGATAAGGGGGTTCTCGGTCTGGCACTTCTTGAGGGCCTGGATGATGCGTCCAGGAAGAGCGCCTACATAGGTCCTACGGTGTCCCTTGATTTCGGCAACGTCGGTCAAGCCTCCAACTGAGAAGCGGTAATACTGTCTGTTCAGTGCCCGTGCGATGGACTTTCCAATACTGGTCTTTCCCACACCAGGCGGTCCGACCAGACAAAGGATCTTGCCCTCCACGGTACCACGGAGTTTGCCCACAGCAATGAACTCGAGAATACGGTCTTTGACATCCTTGAGACCATAGTGGTCTTCATCGAGAACCTTCACCGCATGCTGAATACCGAAGTTCTCCACGCTCTTTTGTCCCCAAGGGATCTGAGTAAGCCAGTCCAGATAGTTGCGGGTGACATTGAACTCAGAGGCAGCAGGCTCCAGGTGGGCCAGCTTGTTGAGTTCCTCGTCGAACACCTTCTTGACGGCGTCCGGCATAGCAAGCTTCTCTGCCTTTTCCTTGAACTTCTCGACCAACTTATCTTTGCCATCGGACTCGATGCCCAGCTCCCGTTTGATGCCCTTCATCTGTTCCATCAACCAGTATTCACGCTGTCGCTTCTGAATTTTAGCTTCCACGTCCTTAGAAATCTTGGATTGGAG